AAAAAAAAAAAAAAAAAGGCACAGTGAATTGTTAAAATGTGGGGGTTTTATTTTTTTTATTTCAGCATATTATGAGGGTACATTTATGCTATGTATATTGCCTTTGCCCCATCCGAGTCAGAGCTTCAAGTGTGTCCATCCCCCAGAGAGTGCACACTGCACCCATTAGGTGCGTATATACCCATCCCCCCTCCCCCCTCCCTAAAATGATTTTGTATTTACTGGAAAAATTTTTAAATTATCAATATTAGATCAAGAAATGTCTGGTGAGTCAAAAACACTATAAATGAATGAGGATGGTATGTTAAATCGAGAATGGGATTTATTTTTATTCTCAATGTTAGCTTTGTCCCTTTTCATCCTGAAATTTTCACTCTCAACTATATTTGGGGTGCTGGTCACTTTTGCCCACTTGTTTTCATCAACAGAGAATAATAATGTGAGTCTGAGATTGAGTTTTGATTTAAAAAAAATGCTTTTGACACATGTGAAAATACACTTGTTAGATAGCAGCAGTTGGACCCCACTGAGTGGCCTGTGTCCACTCTGAAAGTTCTATGATGGCCCGTCACCATGGTAATGTGGTGATGTGTATCGTCCCAACATTTCAACTGTCACTCTGAGCTAAGAGGTTCATACTTCACAGCAGCCCTGCCGTTCTCCCCTTTGTTCATTCATCCAGAGTTCTTCAACATGGGTAGCATGAATTCCTGCTGGGCAGGTGTGCTCACAATGACCTTCCGATTGTCACTTCTTCAACGGGCCTGTTATTTATTTTCACTTCCCTTACTCTACTTTGTCTACAGATCTACAAATGTGTTTTATAGTTTTGTTTTATTTCTAAATTTATATTGCTGATTCTCCTATCCAGTTGATTGCCCTAAAGTTTCCTAAATTTAGGAAATTGTACTATTTCCTAATGCCAATTTTGTACACAGTCTTCCAGAGAACAGATACGAGAGAACACATCCACACCACCTTCATCAGATTTGGAGAATCCTGACACCAAATACAGCAAGAGATACTACAGGGAAGGAGAATTAAAGCCACACTTTTCTGAATGTAGATGTCAAAATCCAAAACCAAATTCTAGTACAGTCAAAACCAGAGATTTTCCAAAGGAAAGAAACTAAAATTTCATGGTGGGATAATGATGGGGTTGATGAGAACAGAGTCATTGGCTGTGAGAAGGGACAGTGCCAAGGGGTTCATGGAAAGGACATTTGGTAAAAATGGAAGGGGGAGGGTCCTGGGGTGGGGTTCTCCAGTTCGTATCCATGGCCAGGTCCCTCTAAGAGGAGATGGGATGCTGCCCCTACCCCTATAAGATGGAGAGAGGGATGGGGAGTTTGTAAAGAATTTGTTCGGTGGGGAAAGGTGTGAGCGGGAAGGTGACGCTCTGTGCTGGTGCAGCTACTGCTCCTTCCCAACCAAGCTGCTCAGGCAGTTGCTCCCGTAAGAGGTCAGCAAGACAGTGGGGGTCACAGACTTCATTCGTCAAACCACTGAGGCACCCGCCCAGATGGCCACACTCCCAGTTAATTCCGTTGGACTGCTCATCCAGGCTCGATCAGCTGAAGCGAAGTTAGTTCCTGGCATAGCCGCCATGTGGCAGTTGGTTTGGAACATCCAGGATTCTGAGCCATCTTGGGAGCCAAGGTGACCACTGGTCACGGCAGTGGCCAACTGGCGATGGCAAGGCTCACGCCAAGGCAGCTGACAGATGAAGATGCTGGGGGAGGAGGCCACACACTGGGGCGTGCCTTTCAGACAGGCTTTGTTTGCAGGAAACTGTCGCATTTTAGGTCAGGGATAGAATCCTAGAGGGAAGAGGCTGAGTTATGATCTGAGCCCTTCTCTCGACTCAGCCAGCTCTTCCAGGGCATCAGCCTCTCTGCAGGAACCTTGAGGCAGGACGTGAGAAAGCGCGTGGGAACAGCTCTCGCTTCTGACTCCAGGGCGTGGTGTAGAGGCCTCAGGTGTTCAGAGATCTGTGTCCCAAAAACCAACTACACTCTTGTCCCAGATCCGCCACTCATCAGTGCTGTGGCTCTGGAAAGTCACTTAAAATGTCTCTAAATTTCGCTTTCCTAAACTGTAAGTTATGGGTTGTAGCCCCTGCTCTTCTTATCTCTCAGGGCTGATGTTGGGTGTCGCAGAAAACCACAGATGGTCTCCATGAGCTGGAAAGCATCACAGCCATGGAAAGGATGAAGGAAACTTCCAGCCTGCCCTGCCCTGAAGCCCTCCAAGCTCCCTCTCTGTGTCCAACCGCCACCAAGTGTCTGGCTTATTCTTTCACACATTTGATGATCGAGTATTGTAGGGCGCTCATGGAGCACCGGTCTTCTTAAGGCTTTACATGCATCTAATCATTTTTAGATGCCTTAACATGTCCACATCTCAGAGCAGGGAAGTGAGGAACAGAGGGGTCTCTATAACTTTCCCAGGTGCACGCAGATTGTAAAGAGAATTCGAACCCAGGCCATTAGGTACCAGCCCCTGTGTCTTGGTCACTCTGCCCTGCTGCTTTTCTACATTGTCGGGTCTAAGGAAAGGGATTTGCCTACACAATTATTCTGTTGGGTTTTCAGTGCAACCCACACTGCAAGATCATCCTAAAACCCAACTCTGGTTGAGGTGACTTTGCTAAGCAGATGTTTAAAAATGGGATCAAAAGTTCAATCTGTGAATAAATTATTCTAATTTCTCTATGGTCTTCTGCCAGCAAGATGTCCACAGCTGTCTTTTTTTGTAATACATTTCCCAGGATCTCACCTCTAGGATATAAGACTTTTTCTCTTCTAGGGACAAGAAAATCTGTTGGCTCCAGGAAGTGGGCCAAAAAAATCCAAAGTGGCCACAGAACAAGAGTACACCCTGGAAACAAACCAAATGAAGGTACTATTTAAATTATTAAGTTCATTCAAGAATAATTCTAGATTTTGTGATTTCTTTAAAATTCATCAGGTGTCAGGCAGGTTGGGGGGAGGAAGGGATGGCTAAATGTACACCTAATGGGTGAAGTGTGCACTGTCTGGGATGGGCATGCTTGTAGCTCCAACTCCAGCAGTGCAAATGCAATATGTGTAAACTAAGTGTTTGTACCCCTGTAAAATCTTGAAGAAAAAAAAACCACATTAAAAAAAGTTTCTAATTTTGAGCTGTTATGATTCATGTTGCAATGAAGATCCCTGTATACAAATCTTTCCATATGTTGTTAATTATTTTTCCTTAAGATAAATTTTCAGAAATTTTGACTCAAAATTCAAGCCAACAAGTACAGATAATTAAGGCTGCTGATACATATTGCCACATTTAAACCACTATTTTAGAAAAACAAAGTGGATGTAGTATGCAGCATTTCTTGGATGAGAGATTCTGTGAGAAGCAATTTGATCTGGCACAGAACTGAAATGGCTTTGTCAGGTGGCTGTATTCAAATCCTGGCTCCTTTCACTATATAACCTCAGTCAAATAAATTAATCTTTTTGCCTTGCTTTCTCCCTTGTGTAATGAGATAATTCATGTGAAGCAATTAGAACGGTGCTTAGCATGTAACAGCTGACACAATGGAGTTGTTGCTAGTATTATTACAGCAATAATTTAGGTTGGAAGTGATAAGGTTATCTAGAGAAAAAACAGAGAAATCTTTGACAAATTAGTCGTACTCAGTGACTAACTGGCCATATGGCTGAAGGAGAGAGTGAGTCAAAGTTTCTGGCCTAGAGAAATGGGTGTTTCAGTAATGGAAGTAGCCTCTGGGTTAGACCATGCTGAAGTAGACACAGTGGGCAACTGACACAGGTCAGTGCCTGTAGGTTACAGGGTAGACTAAAGGAGGGCATGTTGATTTGGAATGATCAGAAGGAAACTGCTGACCTGAAAGTGGGTGGACTCCCAGGACAAGGGAGGGTTGATAAAACAGGGCTTAGGATCCTAGGCTGCTGGAGGAAAGTGGACAATAGGGAACAGGAGGAAGGAAGACAAACCAGGCAAGGATACTGAAGATGCCATTGCAGAAGTGGACAAAAAATCAAAGTTGGCCGGGCACTGTGGCTCACGCCTATAATCCTAGCACTCTGGGAGGCCGAGGCGGGTGGATTGCTCTAGGTCAGGAGTTCAAAACTAGCCTGAGCAAGAGTGAGACCCCATCTCTACTATAAATACAAAGAAATTAATTGGCCAACTAATATATATAGAAAAAAAAAATTAGCCAGGCATGATTAGTCCTAGCTACTCGGGAGGCTGAGGCAGCAGGATTGCTTGAGCTCAGGAGTTTGAGGTTGCTGTGAGCTAGACTGACGCCACGGCACTCACTCTAGCCTGGGCAACAAAGTGAGACCCTGTCTCAAAAAATAAAGAAAATCAAAGTTGTGGGAACCATGGAAGGATAAATGTCCCAAAGGAGAGGGTATTCAGCAATGCCAAATAGCAGAGAGTTCAGAGGTGATACAAAGTAAAGACCATTACTAATACTAGTTAGTAAATTAAAGGTAAGAGAGTTTAAAGAAAAAAAGAAAGAATAATAATTCTATGGCCAGCCACAGTGGCTCAAACCTGTAATCCAGGCACTCTGGGAAGCTAAGGCAGGAGGATCGCTCAAGGTCAGGAGTTCCAGACCAGCATGAGCAAGAGCAAGACCCTGTCCCTACAAAATAGAAAAATTAACTGGGCGTGGTGGCGGCCTGTACCTATAGTCTCAGCTACTCGGGAGGCTGAGGCAGGAGGATCCCCTTGAGTCCAGGAGTTTGAGGCTGTAGTGAGCTATGATGATGCCACTGCACTCTAGTCTGTGCAACTGAGCAAGATTCTGTCCCCCCCCCCAAAAAAAAAAAAAAGAATTCCAGTTTATTCAGTACCCCATATTTAAGACAAATTTCTAAAATGTTACACTATATTTTTATTTCCTGTGTGTGAATTTAAAATTATGAAAACACTCTTTTCCTTTTGCTTGCCCTACTGTGACGGTGGGTACAGTCGTCATCTGCGGCATATGTACCATGTTCTGTAAACCTATTATCTTGCTCTTGTATCACTATTCTTGATTTCACATCATTTACTACATTGACTTTTGAATTTTCTCAAGCAATGCTTTCAGACTTGCGCTTCAAGTAGCTTATTTTGAAAACCATTAATCCATGTTCCCCACTGAAAATATATTTAATGTTTTTAAAAATGTAAAGAACACCAAAATCACAAAATCCAGATTTTCCCCATAGTTTTGTGTCATCAAGAACTCATACATAATGAGGTACTTTAGAGGACTTAGACTTCACAAATGTGATTCAATTTTCTAAAATAAAATTTCTTATGAGAGGCCAGGCGGGTGGATCGCTCAAGGTCAGGAGTTCGAAACCAGCCTGAGCAAGAGCAAGACCCCATCTCTACTAAAAATATAAACAAATTAGCTGGATAACTAAAAATATATATAGAAAAAATTAGCCGGGCATGGTGGCGCATGCCTGTAGTTCCCAGCTACTCGGGAGACTGAGGCAGGAGGATCGCTTGAGCCCAGGAGTTTGAGGTTGCTGTGAGCTAGGCTGATGCCACAGTACTCACTCTAGTCTGGGCAACAAAGAGAGACTCCCATCTCAAAAATAAATAAAATAAAATAAAACAAAATAAAATAAAATTTCCACAAAGTTCTGCAAATAAATCAACTTCTAAAAAATATAAATGCAATAGAATAAAGAGAAGCATATTTTAGGATTAATTATTTTCAGATCACACACACAACAAAGTATGTGCTTAAACTCACTTTTGTTTGCACTGAATTGTCAATAAAATAAACAAGCCCTCTTCATTTTGGGGGGAAAAATCATCTTTGTAATGTAAACCTGTAGTTTTATTCACTGTTACGAGAGCTATCAGAATGTTTTTGAAATCACTTTCCCTACAACTATTAAAAGAATAACTTACCTAGTTATACATACACACTCACCTATATATTTACCTAAAAAACAATGTGGACATTTGTCTTACTCAATATCCATACTTTCAAAATGAAACTTTAGTGTAATATATATGGTTTGCTGGTTATAATCTGTGAATTTTTTAA